TCCTGGGGATGTGCCCGCAACCAAGGTACATGCCCTTGACCAGAATCGAACCCGGGACTCTTCAGTCTGCTGGCCAACGCTCTATCCACTGAGCCAAACTGGTTAGGCCAATAGGAAAATGTTTAATATTTTTTTATTAAAATAATGTTAGCTGTTGTATTTCTTACATACGTCTTTTTCAAATTAAGGTAGTACCTTTCTATTTCAATTTGCTCAAAGATTTTGTCATGAGAAAGTGTTTGAATTTTATTTACTATGATTATCATATGGTTTTATCCCTATTTTTCTGTCACTTTGAAGTATAGTCATGATTTTTGAAATTGTATTCTTGGGATAAACTTTACTTTGTCAAGATATAGTATCCTTTTTATATACCACTATACAGCATTTGCTGATTTTTAAATGTTTGTATCTATGTTTACAAGATATACTAGGGGCCCAGTGCACGAATTCATGCACCTTGAAAGAAACTGTGGGCCCCAAGGCTGCAGTAGGCACAGGGGTGGGTCTCAGTCCATCCTCCGCACCCCCCGCCCAGCCGCTCCCGCTGCGGCCCCCAGTCCCCTGTCTGCCAGCAACCCCATTCCCGCTGCTGCCGCTCCTACACACTAACAGCGCCAGCCCTGCTCACACACCCACAGGCGGCATGGAGTGATTAGAGACAGCATCAGCAGTGGGTATGAGCAGGGCCAGCAACATCAGCAGGTGTGAGCAGCGTCTGCTGCCCCGATCACACCTCAGGAGCAGGGGGAAGTGGAGAAGCCCTCAGGGGCAATCAGGGCCGCAGCTGCCACTCACACCCGCTGATGGCACTGAGCGATCGGTACTGGTGCCAAGAACCAGCAGCAAGTGCAAGTGGTGGCTCTGGTGCCTGCTGTAGGTGCAAGCGGGGCTAGCACTGGCAGCAGGTGCGAGCACCAGGCTGGACTGCGTCACACAAGAGCAAAGAATTTTCAGTGACCACCAGAGGCTCGCCCCGTTTACAGCAACTGGCACCCTGCCTTGGTCTGGTGCCCCCACTCACCTACTCCACCATCCCACCAAAGCTGATGCCCACCATGTTCCACGCACACCCCCTGGTGGTCAGCGCACATCATAGTGACTGGTTGTTTGGTTGTTCCTGTTGTTCCGACGTTTGGTCTATTTGCATATTAGCCTTTTATTATATAGGATTACCCATTAATTACTTTTTTATAATATACTAGAGGCCCGGTGCACGAAATTTGTGCACCGGAGGAGGGGGGGTCCCTCAGCCCAGCCTGCACCCTCTCACAATCCAGGTCCCCTCGGGGGATATCCAACTCACAATTCAGGACTGCTGGCTCCTAACTGCTTGCCTGCCTGCCTGCCTGATTTCCCCTAACCACTCTGCCTGCCTGCCTGATTACCCCTAACTGCCTCTGCCTTGGCCCCCACCGTCTCGGCTTCACCCAGAAGGATGTCCGGAATGACATCTGGAAAGTTGTTCAGCTGTCAGGTCTAATTAGCATATTATGCTTTTATCATTATAGATTGTCTGGTTTAGATATTACTGATAATACTAGTTGGAAAGTATTCTAGTGTCTGAAAGAATATTATAATATTGATGCTATTTCTTTTTTAAAATTTTCAATATTATTCTGTATTAGTTAGTGATGCCCAGGAGTATTCAGAAGAATCAATCTAGGCTTCAGGAGTAAAGCCTTGACCAAAAAACATGTCATAGGGTGTCTCTCCTACATCACTTCCTTTAATGCACAGGTTCTACTCTTAGTATCTGTGCGTTTAACTATGTTCATGGCAGAGGAGTAATATCTGAGCCAAATACCCAACAGAAGTGTCAGAGATTTTGCATAGCATTTACTGTATTTCTCCCATACTTGGTAAATAAGAACCTCTCTAACCAAAACAGTCCCTAATTCTGGGTGTACTTATGCCAAAGTATTAACAATCTCTGTGGATTCACTGCATCTGCACATGTTTAATCTTATTCTCAGAGCAGATACAAACTGAATGCAATCCCTAGGGACCTCAGTGCTCCTCGAGCTGATAATTAAGGAAGAAGAAAGAGACAAGCCCTCTTATATAAGGTGGAGCCTTTGGTATCAGGTGAATTGGATAACTTCTGAAATTTTATGCTGAAATCTTTTAGCCAGTCTCAAAAGTGCTCTCCAAAATATACACTCTCTGGTAAGTACTCAGATATTCTTATCTATCTGACTTGCACTCTACTTCTCACTTTTGACAGTCAACCATATACAACATCATGCCTCCAAAAGTCATATCTTTAGGAAAATTGTTTCCTTCAGAGATTATGTAAATGGACTATTCACCTTTCCAGAAATTGGCCTTTAGCAGAATTCAAATTTCTTCTAAATTGTGATATTGACCACTTCAGGTTATTATTCTCCTGTCAGCATGATGCAATTGATCACAAATTTCTGGCCAGGAGAAATGAAACATATTCTATCAGACATTGCTGCACTGACTGCCCTTACAAATAGCTACATGTTTTGAAGATAGTGGACATTTTTAAAAGAATATTTAAATAATCAACAATTTTTAGAAGATAGGGAATAAAACAAAGGGTGGTTTGATTTTGAGACGATCTTACTTTTGTGGGAGTTACAGGAGGTAGAAAGAAATTGAGTTGTCAGATTCTTTGCTTTCATATAGTATTATTCTAATAATCATATATTCTACCTAACATCTTATCTAAGATGTGAAAGCAAGTTGTAAAGGATTCCAGATTCATTGATTAGGGATTAACAATATTTCACAGGGAAAATTAAATCAGGATGCTATTTTAGACTAGAGTCTACTTTTAGCATGTGTTTTCTATAGAGAAACTAGAAATGTATTTTGTTATTTTGTTTTTCTTTTTTTCTTTCAAATGGAACTGCCATTTGACCTAGTGATCCTACTTCTAGGAACATATTCTAAGAAACCTGAAAAATCAATCAGAAAGAATATATGCACCCCTATGTTCATAGCAGTGCAATATACAATAGCTGAGGTCTGGAAACAGTCAAGTGGCCAGCAACAGATGAGTAGATTAAAAAGCTGTGGCACATTTATACAAGGGAATACTATGCAACAGTAAAAAGGAAGGATTACTTACCCTTTGAGACAGCATGGAGGGACCTGGAGAGGATTAAGCAAAATGAGCCAGTCAGAGAAACACAAGTATTTCATGATCTCACTCATATGTGGAATCTAATGAACAAAATAAACAGACGTATAAAAGAAATACAGACACATAGAAGCATGGAACAGACTGATTAATCTCAGAGGGAAGGCAGGGGTGAGTGGGTGGGTGGGTAGGAGGAGATCAACCAAAGAACTTGTATGCACGTATGCATAACACCCATGGGGAAAGGGGGGGCATCTGTAATAATTTCAACAATAAAGACAAATTTTAAAAAATACATTTCTAGTTTCTCTATAGAAAACACATGCCAAAAGTAATTTTTTTAATCTATGATTTAGGTAGATTTTAGTCTAAAAAAGCATCTACTTCACACTATATAATAAGTCATATAAATGCTTTGTTCTGTCAAAAGAGAGCTGGAAATAAGCCAGAACCTTCAACAATGGCTTTTTTTTCTAACAAATTTTCAGATATTCGTATTTTACTAACTAAAAAATCTTTCATTGCAGAGCCCTCTCAATGCGTCATGACAATTATCAACACATCACATGTTGAAATCACCACATTCTTCTTGGTCGGAATTCCAGGGCTGGAATATGCACACATCTGGATCTCTATCCCCATCTGTTGCATGTATTTTGTTGCTATTCTAGGAAACTGCACCATCCTTTTTATCATCAAGACAGAACCCTCCTTGCATGAGCCCATGTACTATTTCCTGTCCATGTTGGCCCTGTCTGACTTGGGTTTATCCTTATCTTCTCTGCCCACCATGTTGAGGACCTTATTGTTCAATGCTTCTACAATTTCTGCCAATACCTGCTTTGCCCAGGAATTCTTCATCCATGGATTCACAGCATGTGAGTCCTCAGTGCTCCTGATCATGTCATTTGATCGATTCCTAGCCATCCACAACCCTCTGAGATACAGCTCCATCCTTACTACTGTCAGAGTTGCCCAAATAGGAGGAGTGCTCTTCTTTAAGAGCTTCCTCCTGGTTCTTCCCTTCCCCATCACTTTGAGAAAGTTGAAATATTGTAACAAAAGCCAATTATCCCATTCCTACTGTCTCCACCAAGATGTAATGAAGTTGGCCTGCTCTGACAACCAAATTAATGTCATCTATGGCTTTTTTGGAGCACTTTGTGTTATGGTAGACTTTATGCTGATTGTTGTATCTTACATTCTGATTCTTAAGACTGTGCTGGGAATTGCAACCCAGAAAGAACAGCTCAAGGCTCTCAATACTTGTACTTCACATATCTGTGCAGTGATCATCTTCTATCTGCCTATAATCAACCTTGCCATTGTCCATCGCTTTGTCCGGCATGCCTCTCCTCTCTTCAGTGTTCTCATGGCAAATGTTCTCTTACTTGTGCCTCCACTGATGAACCCTATTGTGTACTGTATAAAAACTAGGCAGATTAGAATAAGAGTTGTAGCAAAATTATGTCAGAAGCAGATATAGCAGTCATATATAGTATAAACCTAATTGGGTGAATATCTTAAGTAAGAGATTAAAGGTGAGTTTGAGAAAACCTAATATTTGACACAAATAATCATCAATATGATTTTCTTGTTAATATCATAAGCTTTGTTTTCTTTAGGCCAGATACTGAACATAGGCATAAAACCAGAACAGGACATACATTTCCTGGGGTCTCCATCCTAGTTAACAAAAAATAAAATAGATACCTTATGTCATCTCTTTTTAAAGGAACAAATTCAAATCCAGACAGACAAATGGTAGTGTCTATCCCTCCGACAGAAATAGATTCCTTATCCCCATATTCAATTTATCTATACTAAGTTCTCTTAAATCGAGACACAAGTTACATCTTCATTTTGTCTCCTCTGCTTTAATCATCCTAATGTGTTACAAGAATTTTTTAGGGAAACATTGCATTAGCATCTTTGGTTTCTAAATGATTACTCCTGCTGCTTTCTAACTATCTATGCAAGTTAAGAGTAATCTTTTTAAAAGACAAATTGAATGATGTAATGTCTTTTTAAAATATGAGCTCTTATTTCTTTGGGAATAAAATTAAAGCAATAAAGTGCATACTATAAGACTATTCATGGCCTTGACCCCCTCTACTTCACCAAAAATATCACATTATCAAATTTCAGCTACATTGGCCTTCTGAAAATTTGTTACATTTACAACTTTTCTATTTTTGTAAGTTTTCATACCTGACCCATTGTTTGAGCATACTCTTGATTTCAATTTTATATTTCATATCTGTCACTTCTTTTAAATTTCAACTTAATTTCATTATAGATTATCTAATCCCTCAATACAAATTATGACTCTCTCTTTCTAAAAAAAATCTCTTAAATTGGTTATCATTTATTCTGTCTTATACTTTCTATTATAATTTTTAATTATAGATACAGTTGCTTGTGTTTATTCTATTTGTTTCAACTTCCTAAATAAAGTATGCTATCAATGAAGGGAGAGAACATATCTATATTTTTATGCCTTTGTGCCTAATCTAGAATGTTTCTAATGCAGAGTAGATCTCCAATAAATAATTGTTAACAATTGAAGGTAAAAATGAGGCTATGTTTGGGGAGTGGGGAATTGTTATCAGAAGCATATTTTGCCTATATTAGAGATTCAAAAACAATGCTTATCTCTGTAAAAAATTTCATTGATTGTGAGGTACTTTCCAGTTCCTGGCTGATTATTGCTCTTTAAGCATTTGTCTCATCTATTGTCTCTTGAATTGACCTGATGAGATTAGAATTGGTGTGGTATGTGAAGAGGACTTAGGTCAATGCGTGGACCCAAGAAAAAAGCTAAAAATTTGTCCTATGACAGACAAGTTTTGTAGGTTATTCTGATACCCCGAATGGCAAGCTGGGACTCTCCTTGAAGGTTATTGTCTCACGAAGTTTGAAGAATAAATCCACAGACTAAAAGATTTTAGGCAAAAGTGTGGAAATTTATTCTAAGCGTATACAAACTCCCTTGCAGGGAGGCGTTTCCAAGTGGGTAACCCCCTCAGGAGGGGTCCCCCAAAATGGGAGAGCCCAGCTCTCTTTCAGAATGGGAAAATACCTGGTCCTGTGAATCTCTTTTGTCTACAGGTTTATAAATGCTCATAGTTTCTTTGTTCATTCCACTTTCTAATTGGAACCTTCCTTACTTTATGTCCCCCATTCTTTCCTAATTGGTCATTTCCCCCCTTTTCCCTGCATAGTATCAGTTTCAAGGTTTCAAAACCCACCCAGTGCTTCCCTCTTCTTCTTCCCCTTATCTTGTAACATTCTTGTAAGCAGTCTGGTGGCTTGGAGCTGTCTCTGGCCATCACTGTGCATTCCTCTCCCATGGACCCCCCTTTTCCTAACTGCCTCTCTCTCCTTTCTCTAAAATCCTTTCACTTCTGGGAATTTTTAGGCATATTTTCTCTTTTGATTCTCACAATTACCCATTTTTATAAGACTTTTTTTTCTATTTTTTTTTTCAGTTGAAAAGATTGAGATTCTGAGAGATTGGCTTAATGAATTCCACAAAGAAAAGGTTTAACTTAACTCTGAGTTAAACCTTCTCTTTTATACCCTAAAATTATCTCTCTTGGCTACATTTTAGCTTTCACATCAGGGATTGCATCTGTTTCCACAATGCTTTCTTAGTAGAGAAAATTCTATCAATCAGATCAGAGTACTAAGTGTTTCTGTTGAATTTTAATATGGCCCCCAAGATCTTATCAAACTCAATTTCCTCAGTCTGAGCCTGCATTATGAGCTCACTGCTAGATAAATGTCCCTTGAGTCAACCCCAAGGGCTCTCTGGACTTTATAAAACAGTGCTTACAGAGCACGAAAAGGGAGTCTAAGAGATTCTTCCATGCTTCTAATCTTTTTCCTACCATTGACTTTAAGGTGGAGAATCATATTGTAAAAAAAAAAAATACAAACAAGGTAAGATATAATTCTCTCTTTTGTTATATTTGACAAAATTTGCATTGCTCTTTGATCCTGAAGAGATGGGCTAGATGTTGAAACAAAAGCAAATCAGCAGGTCCCTATGGAGTTTGAGAATTTTACAAAACTACCAAAGAGAGACGAATGCACGTGTTGGTAGGAATATGTGTCCAGGCAAGTTTTAGAAATGCTCAGTCTGGATGATATGTGTGAGAATGGTGTATATTTCAAGTATTACATGATTCTTCTTCTTCATGTCTCCTGACAGGTAGATACATGACCTTGGACAAGTTACTATACCTCTCTAAGACTTGTTTTCTTATCTATAAAATGGTTAAAGTAATAGCATAAGAATATAAATGAGAAAATCTATATACATCATTCAGAGGGTGTCATATTTATAATAAAGTTAAATGAATAATCACTAGATAATAAAATAATTAAATTTATGGATGCTTATCTTATACATTTAAATTAAATCTCAATAGTGCCTACTTCTAAAGAACAATGCAGTTTTAAAAACAATGATGAGGCAAAGTCCAGAACACAAATGACCACAGTCTATTGATGTAAAATAATTTTAGCTATATCTAGCACAATTAGGAAAGCAAATTCTATGGCTCAGATAAGGAGTTTCAGAAGACTGGTAATTTAATAAGCTGATGGATATCATGTCCTTAGCTGTAGCCTAGGCCTTTCGCTTAAATTCCGAACACTTATCCTAAATAAGCTATAGGTTTCCAAAGAAGTCAGGTCCTTGGACAGTACTCTGGGTACTCACCCATTTAGAGGTTGGGTAAAGAGCAAAATCCAGTAAAACAGCAGACAATGTGATAGAGAAACACTAAGAGTAATTATACTTTTTTAAAAATCAAGGTTCTTCCATACTCTCAATATTCTTGGAAAAAGTCAAAGAGTCAACCTGACAGGTAATTGAAATGATGGAGATTGTTTGGATGATTGAATAGTGAGTCATTAATTTTTAGATCATGAAGAAAATGGTGGAAAGAACCTATAATGGAATGAATTTGGAAGAGATAAACACTCTTTTGAGGAACTGTAGTTATATGTTAAGAGGCATCAATAGTTTTTCATTGTTTGAGGAGCACCAGATGAAGAATCTAAAGAAAAACAAACAACCAAAATTCACACAGTTGTTTGACAGAATATAAGAAGTTTATTCTGAAAAGGAGATAACTAATGGAAGAAAGTATTACTGTCTTCAACTTTGAGATATTATACTTAATTAAATAAAGAATTATTAAGCTACAACTATGTTCCAGTTACTATACTAGGCACAGTCAATGTCTAGTAGTGAACAGTATAACCATGATTCCCTACCCTTAATGTCTAGTAAAGAGAGAAGACAGAAATCAATCAAGTAAAAATAAGGAATATATGTTAAAAAAAAGAAAAAAGAAGCTATTTTGTGTAAATAAGATTAGATTCTGCACCTTCAGAGAAAAGATGGAAACTTCTAGAAACATTAATCAATTCAAGAAAGAAAAACAATCTGAGTGTTCAGTCGTGAAGTAGAAAGCTTTAGGTAGTAGTTGATATGATAATACTGGGAATAAGGTATAATATGTTAACTAAAGGTAACCTATTGATTTAGAATGGTTTTGTACAAGCAAGAGAGTAAGACGACATGTTTTTAAGGGCCCCATTAACTCTAAGACTGTATCATTATGAACTTTCAGTTCTGTCATTACTTCATATGTTATCCTATTAGAGATATACAGGTTTGAACATAGGTATGGAACAATTTATGAATTCTACCTCCCCCACCACAATTCACATTAAACATTACTTTTCCATTTAAGATTTTGTTTTATAAAATTGAAATAAGAGAATCATGAAATTGGAGACCTGGTTTTATAAGATCTAGCCATGTGGTCAAAGGATTGCCTGGGATTCTTAAATGTGCAAAGTCCAAATTGGCTGACACTTTTACAAAATTAAAACAAATTACTGGATGAGGAAGCAAGTCATATTCTTCTCATTTGTTACTGTGTTTGACTTTTTTGACAGTTGAAACTGACAGTAGAAACATAGACTACCTTATAAGAAGTCTCTGATTGTTGCCTTAGTATCTATGACCTACATTGTACCAGAAAAGGACATCTTTTGTCAGACTTCACTGAAGAAATCTCCAACTGCCCTGAGTAAGCATCTGGTTAGTTATCTTTTCGTGCGTCATGTCTCCTCTTAACGGCACAAACATTAAAGTTCTTAGATTCCTCCTTACTGGAATCCCTGGATTGGAGAAGAGTCACATCTGGATAGCCATTCCCTTCTCATCCGTGTACCTTCTTTCTCTCCTGGGAAACTTTACCATTCTCTTTTTCATCAAGACAGAGCCAAGCCTCCATGAACCCATGTACTATTTCCTTTCCATGCTCTCCATCTCTGACCTAGGGTTGTCCCTCTCTTCCTTACCCACCACTTTGGGACTATTCCTGTTCAGTGTCCATGAAATTCATGCAGCTGCCTGCTTTGCCCAGGAGTTCTTTATCCATTTATTCACAGTCACTGAAGCTTCT